CTGAGCAAACCTCTCTGGTCAACAGCCACGTGCTCTGCACACTTCCAAGCCTCTCAGTCGCTGAATGCCACACAGGAAAGCTTGACCAGCTCTGGCTTGAGTCTTCTATTACTGGAACTCGGATTAGAAAACCTCACCAAAATGAGTACATACTTTAACCAAACTACCCCTGCAACAGCATTTCTACAAATGGGAAACAGACAGTATTTTGGTCAAGAGATTTTTCACCCTGCTCTCTCCATCTGCATCTCTCCATCTGTACTCCCCATCCTTTCTACTCCCCACCCTTCCCTGAAGCATAGGCTGCTTTCTAACACTACACGGATTTTTGCTCCAATGCACAGCGTGATCTAACTAATTCGCACTTCATTGCTCTGCACACCTCATCATTTGCACATGAAAACAGCAGTCTCTCTCTATCCCTCCACTTGCTGCCTATTTCTTCCTCCTCCATCCCCCACCTCCTGTACCTCCTCAGAACAACTCCACTACGGAAGCTGCAGTGAAGAGTCTCACATTACCAGGACTCCATTGCTTTTACAAAATTTACTAGTGTGCTGTGAAACCTCATAAATAATTCAAGATAGACAACCTTTGTCAGGTAGATGAACGTGCCTTTGTACTGCATCACTCCGGGTTTTCTATCACAGCGATACTCACTGCAGGCACAACCCATATTGATTCAGGAATTCCCCAAGTGTCACTGTGGGAAAGGGTGGAACAGTTTTCACACCAGCAGAAGCCAAGGATACCCAAAGTCTATCCAGGGCTTCAGGGGACTCATAACAGAAACCCACTGGGGCAGACGTAGCTCCAGCCTAGTCCATAGAAAGCACAGCTCCATCCCCACTCTTCAAGGACAATGAACTAAGGAACAAGGTCGAGGGAGGCAAGAGACATCCTTATTATAGAAATCCTGTTCACTGCAAGAACTTCAGGGATTTTGACACACACCAGAACTAAAAATCATGTTGCATCCTGCATTTATTGCGTTTAACTCTACGCACAATCAGTGGTGTCGCTGCACAAAGAGATAGGCAAACTCAAATGCTGTTTTGACAACTGTGCCCAAGGCTTTACCATTATTGACCTAGATGGCTTATATGGCATTTAGCACCCAATCTGATTGCTGTCAGCAATTATCTCCTCTGGAGTTCTCAGTCCCAACCAGACGTGCGGGAGGAGAATTGATCCTGGTTCTCCTGAAAGGCAGTCTCACAGCCTTGGGAGAAGCTGTGCTGTACAACAGCTCCTGTGCCGTCCCCCACCAGACTGAGCAGCAGCTTCCCAAGAGGTGGCACAGTAGCCTAATCACAAGCAAGGATAACGACCTTGTGATGAGTTAATGAATAGATACAGAAACCACAGACCGAGCACCCTTTGTCTGGCCTGACTGCCTTCAGATCCTTGTGTCTCTCGCCCTGCAGCCCTTTCACCCGTCACAAGCTCATCTGGTTAAATGTCCCCATCACTCACACATCAGTCAATTCGAGAAACAATTTTCTTTACAGAGGAAGAATGAATCCTTTGGTCTACATAAACACCTTTTAGTTCTCATTGTATTTATGACCAAAAGATAATGGCTGAGACAGAAGGGGAAGGGCTGTAGGAAAACTGTCAAAGTAACGAAGAAAATCTACATGCATTCTGCAAAAGATCAAATAATTCAACCTAAAGAAAACCATGCCAATAGCTTGTTGACAGAAACTGACTCTCTATTTGTACAACCCCATTTGTACAACCCCATTCCCCATGCAACCCAGCAATAATAAACTCTAGGATGAAGGCTAGATTACAGGAACGGCTCTAAAACAATAAACTACTACCAAAACCTCAGAAAGGAAAAATAATTTTACTAACAAAACACATTTTGCTTTCAAGAGCCTCCTAGAAAAGTAAATATCGAAGCGTTCAGATGCCCTCCTTTCTTACTGAATATTTCACTCAAGTATGTTGCTTGGTAATTTTGGACTTTTGCTTTTATTTCATGGCACTTGAGCATTTCATTGGCTGAAAAAAGCATTGTCTGACTGGTACAGCGTGTGCACGTGTTCCACGTTGCAGCATGCAGATGCTCCAGCACGCGAGCCCTCAAGAGCTGTTCTGATGGCTTTTGAAGCCAAACTCCAGGCAACTCGTTCAAGGATAAACGTTCAGGTTTCCATTCAGACCCTCCGGAACCACCTTCAGCTTTTCAGGGGCTGTTGCACAAACACACACAAAGCTTCTTTACAACAAAGCTGCTGAACTCTGCCTGTCAAACACCAAGCAGGAGCCCATTTCTACCCTCAGGTCTATGTGCAGGAGCCTTATTGATTTCAGTGGGAACCCACACGCTTTCTCAAGAGAATTTCAATTAACAATTTCTCAATGTATACAGTTGAAAAACTCAAACTCCTGAAGCCACAGTCTTGAAGGGAATGAGTGCAGGCAGGTCACGGTGTTAAGGTGTCACAGGCAAGAAAGCAGCAATGAGCTGCTCTTTCTCTATGGGAGAAGGAAGGACTCAGAAATGGTAACAGGAATAGAGAAAGTTGTTTTTAAATAGCAAGAAATATTGCAAATGGCTTTTTAAAAACTTTTGTTCCTCTTTGTGAGGCTCTTCTTTTATCTCTGGGAAGTTCAGGGTGCCTCTGCACACCCCAAAAGTGGTTTCTGCCACCAAACACAGCCTGCACAGGGTTGGCAGGGACACTGGGGATTTGTGCTTCCACTGAGTACAAATTGTCACAGAGGCTGCTCAGCCCTCACAGGGATGGAGGGCCAGGATCTGTCAGTCACTCTTGGTGGTAGATTGCCCTCCCAGGGAGCTGTCTCTCTGCTTAGTGGAGCACAGCAGAAGACAAGCAGGGCCATCTCCCAGCTTCTCTACTTCTTTCCAGACAAGTTCCAATGCCAAGCATCAAAACCATAATTGGAAGAGATTTTCTGACTGTACAGCAGGTGGTCAGTAGAACAAGAGAAGGAGCTTCCTCTACATGGCATTCTGCAAACTATAAATGATCCAGTCCTAATAGAGTTATTTATTTCAAGCCCTGCTAGCCCAGATGTGCTATCACTACCAGCATCATTAACCTCATTTAGGGTGAAATGACAAGTACAAATCAAAATGCTACAAAGAAGCACCTAATTTGGAACAGGCAGCCTCAGGCCCACATTGTAGTGGTGACAGGAAGATATTAAGCCTTGCTGCTTTGAGCAGGAGTCTCCACTGCCCACTATCTGACAGGAACTGGGGTAGCACCTCCAGTTTGCTGCCCTAAACAACTGTCTACATCTGACAAGTGCTAAACCTGTTGGAAAAGCAGGACTGGACCCTGGACACCACACTGGCACTTCCCCTTGCAGACATACCTTTCTCCTCTGCTGCCTGGTCAGAGATGCCCTGCAGAGCAGTGATGAAGCCAAGCAGACACGCAGCAATTCTGCACACACCTGCTTCCTCACAAGAAGCAAATGGCTCTCCACCCTCTAGCAGATGGCAATTTTCTTTCAAGTCCAAGTGACAAAAAGCCTTGCTGGAAAGTGAGGAGGGGGTTTGTTCTGCTCCCCAGTGGCAGCCACATTCCCCAGCACTCGTGCATGATCTCCACTAACATGAGGCAATGGCAATCCAGGTACAGGACTTCCCTGACTGACCAGGCTTTCAATTATCTCATACCAAACTGCTCAGAAATTCAAGCAGAGGTTGTTACCATGCTGCCACAGGAATCCCTCTGTGTACTATTTAAAAGAAAAATTAACTGCAACCAACAGCCTTCCTTTCCACAGCCATTAATCCTGTTGCCCACATAGATGCACATTCTTGTACGTGACTATTCCTAAAAGGAGCCTTGTCAGTCAGTGGCCATCACCTAACACGCCTGCCCCAAAGGGTTTGTTCCAATCTGGGATTTTGCTTTTTAAATCTCAATGAGAAATTCCCCTTTGGACAACTGGCTGAGCCGAGCTTTCCTTAGCTCAGCATAAGATGATTAAAACCATGCTACCCGGGAGGAGAGAGATAATGTAGAACACCAACGATTTATCAGGGACAGAACCAAGAATCAACACACTGACAATAATTAATACAATTGTAAACAAAAATAAAAAACCAAAAATTATCTTTATTTTCTTTCTTCCCCCCCTTTGGCAAGATACCCGAATCGCTCACTCTGCTGCTTGCCAGAATGAAACGGTTCAGGGCTGCTTAAAAAAGCAGCCTCGTTTTTGAGAGTCCCGTAGTAAAAGATGACTTCAGTGATTTACAGAGAAAACCTCTAAAGACAAACATGTTTCTAATCAATGCTCTGAATCATTCACAAGGGTGCATTGTCCAAAGTAGGAGAAAATTAGCTGGCAATGGGAAGAATTCAGCAGCACATCTCATCAGCTAAACTCAAACTGCTTCCGGTAAATCTGCCCAAAAAATTTGTTATATCCAGTCTCTTTAAAATCAAGAAGGGTGCAAACAGGTAACTACTGGGGAGGAACAGTCAATTACAGGGGATTGTTCAGTTACCACCGAACTCTTTACTCCCATTAAGTATTTCCTTCCCAAGAAAAAAATAATCACAGCAGCCCCAGGGCAGAGCTCACCAGGCATTTCAGCCCACAGGTTACAGCATTAACCTACTGCCCAGCAATTGTGCATCATCATCAAATACTCATTCGTCACTCCTCTGGGTTCACAGAACAGGTCATGAGGGGAACCAAACAAGGAAGAAGGTATCAGGTCAGGTTGAGGTCTTGAGTCCCTTCTGTGTCTCTTCTCCAGATGCAGCCACACAGCATTAATTCCCACCAGAGGCACACACACAGAATTAGTGGCCTTTTCAGGACAATTCCTCCATATTTGCAAGAAATTATGGATCTTTGCCAGTAGCTTCAGTTTTTACTTATCTTGCCTCACTGAGTGCTGGATCAGGCCCACTCTGATAAAACCTCAGATAAGAAAGCACAGAGCTAACAAAATCTATTCTAGCAAACCAATTCCTCCAAATTAATTGGAATAAAACTGCTTTGGTTAAAAAGCTGGCATGGTTTATTACAATAACATGGATCATAGGGTGAGGGAATGCAAGCACATTATTTACAACTCACAAGCCTTTTTATGTCTCTCTCTTAAGTAGAAGAACCTTCTTATAAAACTTTCTGCTGCTAGAAAGAAAACACAGCTTTGACTCACAAACTGGTACCCAAAAGAAATTTATTCTATAAATTGATACTGTGTTCTGAACTTAATAAGCAAATGCAACAACTTGCAATCCATGAAAAGCTACAGAAATATCAAAAACATCCCACAAACTTGAGCTGTGCACCATCACGTACAGAATCCCCTTTGCTTCTTTAGGCATTCTCATGGGAGCAGAGATCGTTCATGGCAGAGCAAGGCTGGATCAGGACATAAGGCTGTGGTACTTGGAAGAGAACTGGCACATTCCCTTTCCTCTCCTCCCTCTGTAGGTAGACATTTCTCAGGGTCTTATTCTGAAGAATTTCTGTATTTACATGACAGGAAGAAAAGGGAACCCATCAGCTCCCAAAGGTCAAAGATACTTAAAAATATGAATATGTGCCCCAAAAGAATCCAGAAGAAATCTGTCAGAATGGGAAGGATTTCGGCATAAGCAACCATGCCTTTGGTGAAGGCAGATATTAACACAGTAAGCTACAGCTCTCCCAAATAAACAACACTGTTTCTTCTGCCGATAAGCTTTCTTTTCAGAAGGCCTGACTACATGCTTACAAAAACGCACTTTGAGATCAAAGACACTAATCTAAAAGGCATTCAAAACTACTTCCTATGGCATATATATATATGAAATGTATTTCTATTCTTAAGCAAATCACAAATGACAAGACAACTGTGACATAAAGCAGTGCACATCCACTGGGGCAGCACGAAGTTAAGGGCAACACTGCTATTATTAACTCTATGTCATTGAAATCTTTCCCCCACCTTCAAAAACGCAGACTGTAAGGACACGGTGTCAGCCTTTACTTTGAATTGTCTGGATTTTTTTCAGTTTTGTGTCAACAAACCTCAGCAATTCATAACGGAGATGACAGCCTCTTAAAACACATTTCAGCAAGGTTTCCCGTGGATGCGTGGAGAGGGACAGGTTAGGTTTAGGGTTACCACAGTAGGCAAAAGAGCCATCCCTGTTAAAAAATATTCCCAAACATTAACTTCGAAAGCAATGTCTTCTTCTTCTTCTTAAAAAAAAATCTATTTATATCCTTCCTGCAGCGACTCTCCAGTCCCCCACCCCCTCACCCAAACGAGCTGCTCTCCGACTCTCTTTCAGTAGATTACAATCAATTTTAGTCGCTCCAGAAGCAGGGAGAGGAAGACCCGCCAGCTCGGATAGCCTGTGGAACTATCCAGCTATTATTAGTTTATGCTCAAACTCCGATGTGCACGGCCGGTTGTGGGTACCATATTGTGTGCTTGAAACGAGGATGGGGGGTTGAAAAATAAGTCCTTTCTGGTCTTTCCCCCCTCTCGCCACATTAAGGCTCCGACAGCCGCCCTGCGGACCGGCACCCGCCGGGGAAGTTTGTGCTTTCCAGCAACTTTGGGTCCGTTCCTCAACCCGCCGCTCCGGCGGGGAGCGGGCGGAGACCCCCGCGCCCGCCCGCATCCAGCGCGGCGCCGGCCGCCGGCACCGGCAGCGCCCGCCGCGGCCCCGCCGCCGCCGCTCCCCCGCAGGCCCCGGGGCGGCCCCGCGATGCGCCACCGCGCCGGGCCGAGCCGCGGGGCGGGGGTACCGGCCGGGGCGGCGGCACTTACGTGTGCTGCTGGGGGAAGCTGTAGCCGTGGGCGGCGGGGGCGGCCAGGAGCAGCAGCAGGGCCAGGTGGCCGCAGAGGGCCGGGGCGACGGGCGCCGCGCTGCCGGTCGGAGCCGCCATCGCCATGTTTCCATTAACGGCGCGGCGGGGAAGGGGCAGAGGCGGCCCCGCGGGGCGGCTCCCCCCGCCGCCACTCGTGCGACGAGCGCGGCAGTCCTCGGCAGGGGGGCAGCGCCGCGCCGGCTGCGGGCACCGACCGGCGGCCGCTCGCCCGCTGCCTCTCCGCGGCGGCCGGCACTGAGCACCCGCCGAGCGCTACTTTCCCTCAAATAGGCGGCCCGGCCCGGCCCAGCCTCCTCCCCGCCCGCTCCCTCCCTCCCTCCGGCCCCCCGCGCCGCCCCGGCCCCCGCCGCCCCGCCGCCGCAGCGCATGCGCCCGGCTCCGCGCCCCCCCGCCGGTCCCGCCGCCCCCGGCTCCGCGCCGGGCTGGGGCGCCCCGGCCGCGCCATCCCGCGCCCCGCCGGGGCTCTGTGCATCCTCCCCCGCCCCCTGTGCCCCCGCCCCGGGCACTGCCCCGCCGGCGGGTCCCCCCCGCCCCGAGCAACGAGTGACCTCGCGGCTCCTTCCCATCCTCCGAGCGCCTCTGTCACTGCCATTCCTGCCCGGGTACCGCGTTCCCCTTCGGGGCCACCTCCCGGAGGCACGGCAGCATATGGGAATCTCCAGTTATGTTTAATATAATAATAATAGCAACTATAATTATTTTTTTTTTTTAAAGCACACTCTGACTTTGGAGAGTGTTTCCTCAGACTACAAATTCAAAATAACAGAATTAACAACTACAGCCCCCAAATTGGGAGAGTTTCTGAGCCAGACTTTTGAAGGCCTGGATTTTGAAACACTGTCTTCTGGACAGCTGCAGCACAATTTCATCCTCTCTAAACTCAAACCCAAGCTGTTCAGCTTCACGAGAACTGACCACTGGCAAGGCAGGGACAGCTGGCAAAGGCAGAGGCAGGAACGCTGTTCACATGCCCTCCTCCCCAGGCAGCCTAAATCTGGACAATCAGAGACCTGGCAATTTCTAAGTAGCACCACCTTGTCCTGTTTAACTCCAAAAAAAGGTGTCATGTAGGCACGGTTGCCAGATCTGGACAGATCTCTCAAGGAAGAGCCCTACAAATTAGGCATCAGTGCTTTAAAGATGCAAAGGCTTCTTGGTCGTGCCCACAGTAACAGCGCAGCAGTGGCAGGACAGGAGCTCCTGACAGTCTGGATTTGCAGCACAGAGGTTTAAAAGCCTTCCTTCTTGGGAAGGGGGAAGGATTTTGATAAGATGTTGCTTCTCTGAAGCGGTCCCTGCCCTCCTTTTTAGCAGAACTTTCCTCCCCTGATGGGTGGAATTGCCTCTACGCTTTGTTTCTGCTGTGTAAAGGAAAAAATTTGGAGTAACACAGATCCAGACTCAGACTCCCAGGTACCCCAGAAGCACTGAGACTGCCATCTAAACTTATGTATGTCACATCCAGACACACCATGAGTTTCAGAGAAGAGCAGTGAAGGAACATTAAGGATTTGATGCACTGACTCCAGCTCAAGTTGCTTCACAGAAACAATTCTTTTTTCAAAGAGGTAGAAAAACACTATCGTTTTCCCAACTCATGTTGAAACTCAGCAATAAACCCACTCCTGAACCGGAAAATAGGACTTGCAAAAACATCAGACCCTGACTTGATATGTTCAACATAGAAAATAATATGCCCAGTAATTTAATACTTCAATAAATTATTAAGAAATACTTCAGTATTCCCTCTCTAGCTTCTGTACCACGTGCAGACTAGAACTATGCTTTCCACACTCTTCAGGGCATGCTCTGGTTTTGCATCCTGTATTTCAACTGCACCTGCCACAAAGTTTAATCCAGGTTTGCATCGGCTGCTACAGTCAAAATCACAGCTACTGACCTGTCATCCAGAAGTTTCCAATTTACAACCTCCAAGTGTGTTTCAGCAGTGGTAAGTGGATAATCTCTAGTGTATACATGGGAAACAGAGCGGCAATAGGATAAACAGCTTGTCCTTTGCTGGCAGAGTCAGCAGCAGATAGTAAACACTCTGCATTGTGTAGAATTTGGCTTTCCAAACTCTTGAAAGACAAATTCTGTTCTCTGTTACATCCCTACTTTCTTTCCCAGAGGAGCTGGGTTAGCATCTGTCTAACAGATACAATTTAACTCAAGATATGAGCCTACATGGTCCAGATTTTTGGTTCTCATTCCAACAGGATAGCCAGGGTGTTTGAGGCAACATTGTCATTGCCAGATATCCTTTATAATATGGGATTTTTTATGCATTATGCAATCTGATCCTCTGTCCTGTAAGAAAAGCTCAGGGAGACAACTGTGTATTGCCACGGCTATCAAGTGCTTTTCCAAATGTCTGGCATCCAGCAGCTGGCTGCTCTACAATTGCAAATACATGGCATGTATGCAGCAGCCCCAGTGCTGGATGCTCCAGCCTGTTGTGCTGGAGCTGTGTGTGTGAACAGAGCAACTCCCCATTGCAGGCACAGTGACCTGACACATTCAGTACAGCAGGAGTGATTTATTTCCTCGAGATGTGGCTCTCCAAAATGCTTACAGTTGTTTTGGTTTGATACCAATAACAATTCTTACAATTGTTTTGTTGGATACCAATAACCTTCAGAGCAGTATTTGATCTTGTGGTCTTATGGTAGGAGCAGATCTCTAGGTGTCAAGCAATTACTTTCAGATGTGGCTGTTTGGGTTTGTTAACAGTAAAGACTTGCCTGTAAAGAACAGTCCTGTACTGCTGAGATCAACATTTTGGTTTAGTTCTATGAAGTTGTTTTGCTTTGCTATGTTTTTGACTGTGTAGTGCTTATTGCTGCAGTGTCTGCAGTCCATACATGGATAGGTTGGCTGGTAGCAAGCTGGTTGGAAGGAGTCTTAAATGTAAAGGGACATAATCATGGAATAAGTCAAGATACGTGGCACAAAAAAGTGCTGATTCTCTCCTGTGTGCTGCTAGGTTAACCCTGTCACCTCCCATCCAAGCCCCTTTTCCTGAGGCACATATGTATACAGATTTATCAGCAGCTTCCTTTTACTGCTCAACCTAAAAATGCTGCAAGTTTTATTTCCAAGCTCCGCATAAGGAAGAGTCACATCCAGAATTGATATAAAAAATGAATTATAAAGACCTTACATGGCAAAATTTTTCAAAATCAATGCTGTCCCAAAAGGGAGAGAAGCAAATCAGTGGAATCCTCTTCCAGCTGGTATTCTGTTGAGAATGACAGGGAAGACAGCATTGCTACGTACATTATCCTTCACATTTTCTGCAGCAGGTGCTGCTCCACTGTGGCCTGTTTGAAACACTGTCTAACCTGCAGCACCAAGCAGCACCAAGCCACAAACGTGGGCTTGAACATGGAGTTCAAGCCATCTCCAGCGGAACTGCTTGTGATATGTCAGTGTAGGTTCTCAGAATCAGCCTAACATTGTACTGAAAGCACCATAATCTGCACAGGACCCGGTGAAATTCCGCACAATACCTGAAATACTGACAGAGTTGCAGCAAAACAGGCAGGGACACTTCATTCTCCCACGACTTTTAGTGGAGAAGCCATGTAGGAGGAGGCTGTCTAAGTTATTCTTATGGCTGATTTATTTGCAAGTGCAGGTAGATGCAGAGAAGGTGTCAGTTTAACTCTTCCCTGACTGATCATTTCTCAGGAAAAATGCAAACCTTTGCAGTCAGCAGCTGCTTCATGGACATGTTTCTTTCCTTACTCCTTCAGGTACACCAAGTTTGGCCTTCCCCAGCCTCTGCTTTTATAAAGTGCCTTGATGAAAATGGTCATCCACACTGTCCTAGAAAAGCACAAGTCCTCTGTGCAACCCGAATGACCAGAGGGATTAGCAAGGATACTCCCCTCCCCCTCTGCTTCTGCATTCCTGCGGAGCAGCTGAGATTCCAGCATGCCTAAGGCAGCACAGCTCTGCACAGGATTCCCCATGAAGGGCAGTCAGCATCCCTGGACACAAGCTTCAACTTTAGGCAGATTGGCACAAGTACCTGGCTTGGTACATGAATGGCAGTCAGCAGAACAAATCTGTCAATTTAAACCTGAAGCTCTTTCATGCAATTAGTCCAGATCCACAGTTTTGTAATTACTAGTGCAGTTTGACACCCCATAGCAAAACATGTAAATGCTGGAATAAGTGATACCTATAGTCTTGACAAATCAGTTGCTGAGTGAGAGGTTAGAAAATGTTGTTGGCATACTATTAAAGAGAGACAAATAAGGGGAAGAGGTAATTAAGAGTGAGCAAGTGATAACAGCTAATGCACATCCTGACTTCAGAGGTTTGCTCTTATTCCAGGTTCTTAAACACGGAGCTCCTCAGCTAATGATGTGTAGAGTTGCTGATGCCAGATGTCATCATTTCAGAAAGAGGAGCAAAGGATACACTTAACATTGATAAAAGCACAAGAAGTAGTCATTGCACTTACCACAAGTCATAGAAATCCACATTGTCTTCAAAAGCCCAAGAAATAAGGAAACAGCATCATGGATATTTGCAGAGTTTTTGATCTAGAGAAAAAAAAAAAAAAAACCTGCAAGTAAGAGCAAAGTGTTGTTCTGTGGATACTAATATGGACAGGAAAGGGAAACAGTACAGGCACAAGGTTAAAACTATTCCAAAATCCTTTCCCAGCTGTCTCCATGGGGCTCTTACCTGCATGTTTCAGGGCCTCTGCTGGCCTGACATTACAAAGATAGTCCACAAAGTGTACATTTAGAGAAGCATACAGGTTCTTTGCCCAAACTTTGCCAAG